CCAGACTGGACGGTGCAGAAAACAGAACCCTCCCACCCTGTGAGAGTTCTCCTGGGCGGCACCGCCCCAGAGGCCGGGCTCCAGCCCAGTCCCTGAGGCCCAGTGTCCCCATCCGCAGCCGGGAGCTCGGCCCGGGGATCCCCGGCCACCTTCGGCCCTGTCTTTGAAGACCAGCCGCTCAGTCTGCTATTCCCAGAGGAGTCCACGGAGGAGAAGGTGACCCTGGCATGCCGTGCCCGCGCCAGCCCTCCGGCCACCTACAGGTGAGACCCCACATGGTAAGACCCACGGTGGTGAGACCCCAAGGTGGTGAGACCCACGTGGTGAGATCCACGTGGTGAGATCCACGTGGTGAGACCCATGGTGGTGAGACCCATGGTGGTGAGACCCATGGTGGTGAGACCCCACGGTGGTGAGACCTCACGGTGGTGAGACCTCGGGAAGCTATGCGGGCAGGACTCAGGAGGCCCTCCTCCCGCTGCAGGTGGAAGATGAACGGCACCGAGATGAAGCTGGAGCCGGGCTCCCGCCACCAGCTGGTGGGAGGCAACCTGGTCATCATGAGCCCCACCAAGGCCCAGGACGCTGGCGTCTACCAGTGCCTGGCCTCCAACCCCGTGGGCACCGTGGTCAGCAGGGAGGCCGTCCTGCGCTTCGGCTGTGAGACCAGACCCGGGGGGTTCCGGACATTCGGGGGGAGGAGGTGGCTGGGAGGAGTGTCCAGAAGAGGCAGGCGGCTGCGCTGGGAGGGCCCGGCGGGCGGGAGGATGGTGCCTGAGCGCGGCCTGGTCTTCCCTCCAGTCCTGCAGGAATTCTCCAAGGAGGAGCGGGACCCCGTGAAAGCCCACGCAGGCTGGGGAGTGATGCTGCCCTGTAACCCCCCTGCCCACTACCCAGGTGCGTCGGGCCCCGGCCCGTGGTTGGTTAGACAGAGGGCCCAGGCGGGCGCCAGCTCAGCAGAGGAGGGTGGATAGAAGGTGGTGAGTGGCGCCTGGAAGCTCACCCTGGGCCCTCAGCCTTAAGTGGTGGTTCCTTCATGGGCCCAACATTTTCTAGCGCTGAGCCCTGCCTCCCCCTTCCGGCTGGGAGGTCCCTGCGGGCCGCTCCCTGTCAGGTGCACTGCACTCCCCAGGGGCAGGAATAAAGGGCAATCTTCCCTCTAGGTCTCCCCTCCGCCCAGCTCAGCTCAGAGAACGGGCTCTCAGGACTGGGTCTGCAGACCCCCACCAGCACGTCGGGGTCCCACCCAGAGTCGCCTGTTAGCCCAACACCCCCCGGTGTCCTCATACTCCCCCCGTCCTAGGCCTGTCCTACCGCTGGCTCCTCAATGAGTTCCCCAACTTCATCCCGACGGACGGGCGGCACTTCGTGTCCCAGACCACAGGGAACCTGTACATCGCCCGGACCAACGCCTCGGACCTGGGCAACTACTCCTGCCTGGCCACCAGCCACATGGACTTCTCCACCAAGAGCGTCTTCAGCAAGTTTGCTCAGCTCAACCTGGCCGCTGAAGGTCAGGGTCGGCGGGCAGGCCGGGCAGAGAGGGCTGAGGGGCAGGGGGTGTGGGGAAAGGGGTTTCCCTCGGAGGTTGTGAAGCAGCTCACAGGGCACAGGGTCTGGGGCCCAGACCACCGGGTCCTCCTGCTACAAGACCTCAGCCGCTCGGCCCAGGTCCCCAGGGGGAAAGTTACTTAGGATGGAGTCGGTGCTGAGCTGGGCTGCGATCCTGGCACGGGAGCACCTGGCCCGGACCTCTAGCATCCGACCTGCAAACCCTCTCGCCCCAGATCCCAGGCTCTTCGCGCCCAGCATCAAGGCCCGGTTCCCAGCGGAGACGTACGCGCTGGTGGGACAGCAGGTCACCCTGGAGTGCTTTGCCTTCGGGAAGTGAGTGGTGGAGGCGGGAGGGCGGGCAGGACACCGGTGACCCCAGAGAGAAAGGGGGGAGGCGGGGGCGGCACTGAGCCATCTTGGTGCCTCTCTCAGGGTCTCGCAGGGAGACAGGCCCACCGTTTGCAGTGACCCCTCACCGAACCCTAAACACCCGGCCTGCCTGGTTCAAGTCCCAACTCTGCCACTTGCTGGCTGGGGGACCTTGGGCAAATACTTAACCTCTCTGTGCCTCGGTCCCCTTATTTGCACATGGTGATAACAATAGTTCCTCCCTCACAGGGTCGTTATGAGGAGGCAGTGAGTTATCATACGTGAAGTGCTCAGGACAGAGCCTGGCATTTAGTAAGGCTTCTGTGGATGCTGACAGTTACCTTTCTATTTTATTTTACTTTTTAATATATTTTTATTTCTTTCAGAGAGGAAAGGAGAGGGAGAGAGAGATAGAAACATCAATGATGAGAAAGGATCATTGATCGGCTGCCTCCTGCAGCCCCCTACTGGGGATCGAGCCCACAATCTGGGCATGTGTCCTGACCAGGAATTGAACCCGGGACCTTTCAGTCTGCAGGCCGGCCCTCTATCCACTGAGCCAAGCCGGCTAGGGCAACAGTTACCTTTTTAAAAACTGCGATAGAAATCATGCTCTCCCAGGAAAAGGATTCACTGGGACAGGCTATGCAAATAGTGGGTGCTCAATAAATACCTGTAGAATGAATATCTCCTGCTATTTGAGGAAGCCCAGGCTGCCCCCTGCTTTGTGGAGAGCTATTGGGCTTTCAGATAATCCAGATGTAAAGACTCACTGACACCTCTGTCCATTTTAGTACACAGGTTACTAACAACTAGAGGCCCTGTGGAAAGTAGAGGCCAGGCCCTGTTGGGGGGGGGGGGGGCCATAAAGACCCAGGTCAAGGCCACTGTCGGCGAGGGCAGGCCCAGGAGAGGCACGGTGGTCAGCACAGGGTGGGGGCGGGAGGGCCAGTCAGCTTCCGGTACAGACCACACAGAAGACCACATTCACAGGTGCCACACTGTTCAGGGGCGTGGAGGGAGGAGGGAGCCCCCTCTTTGCCCCTCCCCTGTCTGTGCTCCAGGCTCACCTGGGAGAGGCCCTTCCCTCCCTCGGTTCCTTCCCAGGCCCCTGGTGAGTGCCCGCCTCCCCACCCCCACCTGCCCAGCATCCCAGGAGGACCTGAGGGTCGGGGTGTGGAGAGCTGCCCGCACAGGGGCGTCTGACTAGCTCAGTGCACCCCCTGGCTTTGTCTCCCTGCCAGCCCTGTCCCCAGGATCAAGTGGCGCAAAGTGGATGGCTCCTTGTCCCCCCAGTGGGCCACCGCAGAGCCCACCCTGCAGATCCCCAGCGTCAGCTTCGAGGACGAGGGCACTTACGAGTGTGAGGCGGAGAACTCCAAGGGCCGAGACAGCGTCCAGGGCCGCATCATCGTGCAGGGTACGAGGACCCCTCTCCCCACCTGCACCCTGGTCTCCGACCGAGGCAGTCCATCCAGAAGCCAGGGAGGAGCCTGGGAGGCCCCTTGCTTAAGCCTCGGGTGCCAGGACTGCCCTGGGTGTGGGGACAGAAGAGGCTAGCGCCGTGGCCAGCTCAGCGCTTCAGCTGGTGTTACAGAAAACACGTGGAAGGCGTTAGGAGGATTTAAGTTGCTAAGACAGCCAGTGGCACGGGCTGCATGTGCCAACTTGCTGGAGCCGCTTCTCACCACCTCCCGGGATGCTGATGGCTCCCTCTGCTGTCTGGCGCAGGAACTGCAGCGCTGCAATCCCAGCCCATTTCATGAGCTGGAGGCTCCTCCCTGCTCAACCCCAACCTCTCTCTCCCTTGCTCCCCACAGCCCAGCCCGAGTGGCTGAAGGTGATCTCGGATATGGAGGCTGACATCGGGTCCAGCCTGCGTTGGGGCTGCGCAGCCGCCGGCAAGCCCCGGCCCACGGTGCGCTGGCTGCGGAATGGGGAGCCTCTGGCCTCCCAGGTAGCGGACTTGGGGCTTCCTCCCACACCCCTACCTCCCCACCCCACCCCCACCTCTGGGCTAAAGGGTGTTTTAGGTGCTTCTTTCCATCCCAGAGTCACTTGGCCACAGGCTGGTCAACTGGATAGACTCCCGACTGGGGTCCAGGCACAACTCGGCCACCGAAACACCGTGTGGTCCCAAGTGGGTCACTTCGCCCCTCTGGCCTCGGTGCTGATGCACAGGGAGGCCCAGTGAATCAAGTCCTGAATTCCAGGCGACTCTGAGATGGGACCGGGCATCTGAGCCCCTCCTCCAGGGAGCGGGCCCCTCCACCCTGGGCCTCCAGTGGTCCTGCCGCCCCTGCCCCACCCTGCGCCCCGCTCTTTTGCACAGACCCGGGTAGAGGTGCTGGCCGGGGACCTGCGGTTCTCCAAGCTGAGCCTGGACGACTCAGGCATGTACCAGTGTGTGGCAGAGAACAAGCATGGCACCATCTACGCCAGCGCTGAGCTGGCCGTGCAAGGTAAAGGGCCCAGGGAGGCTGGGGACACCCCCGGGGGCACGGGTGGGGCGCTAGGAGTCGACACGCAGCGTTTCTAAACACACAACACACCTGGCAGTTTTCCTTCGTTTTCCACCAGCTTCTGTGTAGAACTCAGGGATTTAAAAAGGAGATGAGGTGGCTTGTTCTCTGTCTGGCACAATTTAAATGTTTGTTGCAATGAAAAAAAAAAATGGCAAAGTCATCGGAAACCAGAGCAATTAGATTCGTGTTTAGCCTGACCCTTCAGCTCTGTGTCTGTTTACTAATGTATAAAATGTGGGCAGTAGTCCTGCCCTCACACGGCTGTTGTAGGGATTCAATGAGATGACAGAAGTAAAGCATGAGGGACCTGCCCAAAGCATAACAGGTGCCCAGTAACTGTTGGCAGCTGCTCATATTCTTATTGTGTTACTTGAGCTCATGAAACTTTAGTCTTCTCATCTGTAAAATGGGCACAGTGATGCCTACCTCATAAGTTGTAGTGAGGCTTAAGGAAGGCTCATTCATTCATTCATTCATTCTACTAATATTTATTCAGTACCTCCTCAGATAAGGTCTCTGCCTTCAAGAATCTTACAATCCAGTAGAGAAAGGGGGCAAATAAACACAAAATCAAATCATTAAATAAGATAATTTCAGACAGCCATTAAAAATACAGACTAAAAAAATAGACTAAAAGAAGAAAACAGACTAAAGAAAATCTGATAGTGCGGTAGGAGGAGGGGAGGCGGGGAGGTGGGGTGGTCAAAGAAGACCTCTCTGAGGCAGTCGCTTTGAGGATGTGACCCGAGTGCTAAGAAGGAGCCGGCCATGTGAAGATCTGGGGGATTTCCAGTGCAAAGGTCCTGGGGCAGGAAAAAAGGTGGCATTTTCAAAGAACAGAAGTGGCCCAGGTGATTGGAGCACACTGAGTGAGGGGCAGAGTGGGGTGAGATGGGATTGGAGAGAGGGACTTAGCTGTGAGTCCCTGTGAGAAGGTGGACTTCATGCTGAGTGCCTAATTCACATTTTAAAAAAGATACCCCTGGCTACTGGGCGGAAAGAATTGCAGAAAGAATTGCAGAAAGAAAATACAGAAACAGGAAGACGGATGTGGGGGCCTTTTCACAGCCCAGCAGGGGGTGTGGGGCTTGTAGCAGCGAGGGGCAGCGGGTGGTCGGAAGGGGTGGATTCCGGGTGTATTTTGGAAGTGGTGCTGAGGGTCACTCACGGACTGACCACAAAGGTACATGAAGTGCTTAGCACATGCCCCGGGTGACTGTGGGGCGCTCCCCTGTCCTTCCAGCACTGGCCCCCGACTTCAGGCTGAATCCCGTACGGCGCCTGATCCCTGCAGCCCGCGGGGGAGAGGTCATGATCCCCTGCCAGCCCCGGGCAGCCCCGAAGGCCGTGGTGCTCTGGAGCAAAGGCACCGAGATCTTGGTCAACAGCAGCAGGTACCGCCCGCACCCCACCCCAAGCCTCTCCTGCTCCCCCGCATTCTCCCTGGAGCCGAGTCCCTTCCCCGGACCGTGTGTGACCCCGGGGTGGCCACATCGGCTCTGTCCTGGCTGCAGAGTGACAGTCACTCCGGATGGCACCTTGATCATAAGAAACATCAGTCGGTCAGATGAAGGCAAATACACGTGCTTCGCTGAGAATTTCATGGGCAAAGCCAACAGCACGGGCATCCTGTCTGTGCGAGGTAAGGGTGTGGCCTGGCTGAGGGTGGTGGACTCGGCCACGGGGGCACCATCCCTCCTCACCACCGTGCCCTGGAGTCCCGCGTTCCTCCCAGCTTGGTTGTGAGACCACTCCAGGACCCGGGTTCATTTAGGACCACGCTCTCACCCCCATCCAGGATGTAGTCCTGCCTCTCTCCCACACACCCGTGGGGCTGCTGGGAGGTCCGGATATGTTGGCCATGCTGCCCCTCCTCATTCCTGGGGCTTAGGACAAACCTCTCCCCTCATCCACCCAGAGGCCTTGTTTTTCTTGGCAGATGCGACCAAGATCACCCTAGCCCCCTCCAGTGCCGACATCAACTTGGGCGACAACCTGACCCTGCAGTGCCACGCCTCCCACGACCCCACCATGGACCTCACCTTCATCTGGGCTTTGGACGACTTCCCCATCGACCCCGACAAGCCTGGGGGTCACTACCGGAGGGCCAGTGTGGTGAGGCCCGAGGCCGAGAGCCCAGAGCCCCTCCCTCCTTTGGGATAGACAGGGGGCCCGAGATGGCCTTGACCTCCCAAAGCCTTTCCCCTCTCCCTCGGGAACGCCAGCCAGGCAGACTCGCCCTCGGGTTCATAACCATCCTCCCTAGAGTGGCAGTTGCCTGGGTTCTCCGAAGCCCGAAGCCCGTGCGTTTAGGAGAGATGCGGGACAGGCCTGGAGGGCACTCGGCCACTCACTCCCACTGTTGTGATCCTGCCCCCCAACACCAATGGCGTCAGTCACTTGGACCGTTGTTGACTGTCTCGTGTCACAGACTGTGTTTAGGCCCCGGGGGGACTAAGTGGGGAGGAGCTGATTCCTCCCACTGAACAGATGGGACCGAGATACAGCGGGGGCCGGAGCTGCATCCCCTGACCTGCCCACTCCCCGTCCCCTGTGTGCAGAAGGAGACGGTTGGAGACCTGACCATCCTGAACGCCCAGCTGCGCCACGGTGGGAAGTACACCTGCATGGCCCAGACGGTGGTGGACAGTGCATCCAAGGAGGCCACAGTCCTGGTCCGAGGTGACGGGGTTTCCCACTGCCACCCCCACCCCAACTCCCTCAGAGGCCAGCTGGGCTATTCTCATCTTCGCTCCCTAATTCCCCGCCTCTCCCTGAGCTGTGGGGAAGTGTTTCTGACAGAAGTTCGCTGAGCCGAACTTATCTGGTGGTTCCTCATAGACCCTAGATCAGCGGTTCTCAACCTGTGGGTCGCGACCCCTTTGGCGGTCGAACGACCCTTTCACAGGGGTCGCCTAAGACCATCAGAAAACACATATATAATTACATATTGTTTTTGTGATTAATCACTATGCTTTAATTATGTTCAATTTGTAACAATGAAAATACATCCTGCAGATCAGATATTTACATGACGATTCATAACAGTAGCAAAATCACAGTTATGAAGTAGCAACGAAAATCATTTTATGGTTGGGGGTCACCACACCATGAGGAACTGTATTAAAGGGCCGCGGCATTAGGAAGGTTGAGAACCCCTGCCCTAGGTGAATAGAATAGTCTTCCTCCAAAGCCAACATTTTAGAAAGCGTCCCCAACCACATCCCGAGAGTGGAGGACTTTGCTGAGGCCAGAAGTTTTCAGTGCTGGGAAGTCAGCACACGTCCCTTTGTGAGGGTCTCTGTGACCCCTCCAGCCTTGGACACATCCCACCCACCACGCAAACCCCATTCCTCACTCTCCCACCAGAGCCTGTGTTTGTGGCGCCCTCTGCTGCCACCACTTGGTACTTCACTAGCCCAAACCAGCCTGGGGGAGGTTGGCTCAAATTTGAAGCTGCCTAATTCTGACCCACAATGCTCTGACCTCTGGTGCAGGTCCCCCGGGTCCCCCAGGAGGCATGGTGGTGAGGGACATCGGCGACACCACTGTCCAGCTCAGCTGGAGCCGTGGCTTCGACAACCACAGCCCCATTGCCAAGTACACCCTGCAAGCTCGCACTCCGCCTGCAGGGAAGTGGAAGCAAGTTCGGACCAGTAAGCGTCCTGCACTCTCAGGATGGACAAGGCCTGGCTGTGTGCCAGCAGTGGGGGCAGGGGGCAGAGGGCTGGGGCTGAGCCTGGAGCTTCAAAGAGGGACAAGCTTGGGCCATCTGCCTGCAGAGAGCTACCGGGCCAGTGGGGAGATGGTGGCACGTGGACAGCAGGAGCGTAGGGAGAGTTGAAGGAGGAGGCCCTCTGTCTGCACCCTGAGCACTGGCAGGAATGCTACTGGGGCAATGACTGCATGCACGGGGGTGTGGGGTGCCCACGACACCAGCAGAGGCTCCAGGGCGGGGAGGACTAGTTTTCTGGTCATTTCTGGAAGAGGTGTTGAGGGTTCTGTATGTGTCAGCCCCACCTGAGGGCTGGGCACAAAGAGGTGGGCCAGGCTCAGGCCCTGTCCTCTCCGTTCAGACCACCGACTCCTCCGTGCCTTGCAGATCCCGCCAACATCGAGGGCAATGCGGAGACCGCCCAGGTGCTGGGCCTCACACCCTGGATGGACTATGAGTTCCGGGTCATAGCCAGCAACATCCTGGGCACTGGGGAGCCCAGTGGGCCCTCCAGCAAAATCCGGACCAAGGAAGCAGGTCAGTCCTGGTGTCCCAAAGTGAAGTAACTTCAGGCACAGAAACTAGCCCTCCTCCAAGGGAGCCCCAGGCCAAGAGCAATTCGCAGAGTCCCAGCCCTGCTGACCGGGCTTCAGACTCTAACATAGCATGAGACGACGCAGGCCAGGGCCGGGCCACTGCCCTGCACACAGCCCTGTGCACTGACCACGGCCTGGCCAAGGCCCTCATTAAAACAGGGGGCAACCTTACATCTCCATGTGAATCTACGATATCTCAAAACAAAAAGGGTTTTTTACTGGGAAAAAAACACACAACAAAGTTTGGAGAAGGGAAGGGTCACACTGGCAGAGCCTGGACTTGAACCCAGGACCCTGGGGTGCTGGGCAGATGTCCTCCCTGGAAGTGCACGAACTGCAGAAATCAGTTATGAGGAAGGTGTGTGTGAGTGTGAGTGTGAATATATGACTGTGTGTGAGAGTGTGTGTGTGAACATGTGTGAGCAGGGGTGATTGTATATGAGTGTATGACTCTGTGTGTGTGTGTGTGTGTGTGAGAGTGTGTGTGTGAACATGTGTGAGCAGGGGTGATTGTATATGAGTGTATGACTCTGTGTGTGTGTGTGTGTGTGTGTGTGTGTGTGTGTGTGTGAACATGTGTGAGCAGGGGTGATTGTATATGAGTGTATGGCTGTGTGTGTGTGTGTGTGTGTGTGTGTGTGTGTGTGTGTGTTGTGCAGGGGCCTCGGGAAGCAGCCAGTGTCTCCCAGTCCTCCGGATGGTTCCTTGGGGAGCAGGAGGGATGGCTGTCTGCCCACAGCCCTCCTGAAAGGCAGTATCTGAATCTGAGTGGGGCAGGAGGGGAAGACGGGCTGGTCAGCATCTGCGGAGAGGCTCCATGCCCGCCCTCTGAGCCTTTCCCAGGCAAAGGCCCAGCACAAGAGCACGAGAGCCGTCGTCCACCAGCCCCAGGGTCCCAGGACTGGAAATCTACCCTCGGCAGTGGGACAGGGAAAGACCCGAGAAAGAGGCAGGACACTGCCTGGCAGTTAACAGAGTTTACGAAGGGAAACAAATGGGCGTGGTCTTGCGGCTGCAAGATGAAGTGGATATTCTGTGCCACCTGCCGGCACCAGAGGTAGATGGGTAAACGGGGGAGTAGTCACAGGTACTAACTAGGCTCTCACAGGTGCAGGTGCGGGAAATTACTCTCCCTCTTGACCAGGTCAGGACAAGGGCCTAGTCCAGGAACCAGCAGGAAGCAGGAGGAGAGCTGGTTTATGTCAGAATAGGCATCATGCCGTCTCTATGAGGGTTTTGGAAGGACCCTTTGGCTTGAAGGACACGTCCTAGAGCAATCTCTCGTCCCCAGAGCCCTGGGGCCCGGGCCGGGCAGCACGGAACCAGGACCCTGCCTCCCCTTCTCCTGCCTCCCCTTCTCCTGCCCCACAGGCCCGCCCCCTGGAGGTGTAGTGAGGGTCTGCCTCCTCGTGCCCCTTCCACAGTTTCCTGGGTGCCCCGGGCTGACTCCGGGCCCTTTCTGCAACCATTCCACCGCTTTGACTGGGACCCCCCTGAGTACGGAACTCCAGGGGCACGTGGACGGGGCTTCCGGCAGGGCCGGGGAGGGGGCAGTCTCCTCACTCTGGCGCCCCAAGAGTTCATGAGCACAGAGGCCGCTGTGACGCAGAGGAAAGATGAGGCTTTGGGATCAGAACTGAGTGCACATTCTAGCTGTGCCATTTCGCTCTGTGACCTTAGGCAAGTCGCTTAACTGCACTGGGCCTTAGTCCTTCCGCCCTGAAAAGGGACAATGACGCCCAGCTCGCAGGACCAGATGGGCATTGCGTTTAAGCGCTCCTTGCAGGAGACAAGGCCCGAAGCTATGGTCATCAAACCAAGAGATAAGACTCTAATGGCTGCATCATCTGCAGAAATATTTTGATCCTCAGCCAATGTCACGCTTCATGAGCTGATGAACTATATCCTTGTTTTCATATCAGCCTTGTTGAATGATAGAGACAATTGGGAAATTAATTCTGCCACAAAAGAAAAAAGTAAAACACCCTGCAACCCAAAATAAATGTTTTTTGTGTCAACTGCATTCTGAATTACTCATTCCCCTGAATTTAAAGCACACTGGAGCTGGTCTCTTATTTAGTTTCAGCGACAGGAGGGAAGGAGGCAATGATCATTGATGGAATACACACACACACAGAAACACACACAGACACACAAAGAGAAACACGCACACACAGACACACAGAGAGACACACACACAGAAACACACACAGACACACACACAGAAACACACACACAGACACATACACAGACACAGATAAACACACACAGACACACACACACTCGCCACTGTCATTTTTAATCTTATTCTCTTTACAGCCCTTGGAGAGGAACCGAATCCTCCTCTTACGGAGGGAGAATCAGGCACAGAGAGGTTAAGTAACTTGCTCGGAAAAGCACAGCTAGTAAATGGCAGAGGTGGGATTTGATCTTAGGTCTGCCTGACTCCAGGGCCCACGTCCAGAGGGACCGTTAGAGGACAAAACCAGGGCCCATCTGAAGGGGGGCCCCCACCCTAGCTCACTTCACAGGCTCAGGCTCAGAGCTCTTGTTCCCTCGCTGCCCACTCACCAGCCCATTAACATCTGTGTCCCTTGGTCCCGACAGCCCCCTTCGTGGCACCCTCTGGGCTCAGCGGAGGCGGGGGAGCCCCTGGCGAGCTCATTGTCAACTGGACGGTAAGCGCTTGGACAGAGGCAAACCGTGCCTCCAGTTCTCTGGGGGGACAAGTCCTCCCCACCCCCCACATCCCCCCCCCAGTCCTGACTCGCCTCTGGGCTGGGCCGCTGCAGGGAGAACCCAGACAGAGCCGCTGTCCAGTCCCGCAGCCGCCTCCTCTCCCTCCCCTGCACCCGCGGCTCCCGCAGGAGCACCTCCTGGTGAAGGTTGGGTCGGGGCGCAGGATGGGCAGGGAACGCACCCACGGCCCTCACCCGTGCCACGCTCTTGCCCCTCAGCCCATGTCACGCGAGTACCAGAACGGAGACGGCTTCGGCTACCTGCTGTCCTTCCGCAGGCAGGGCAGCGCCGGCTGGCAGAGCGCGCGGGTGCCCGGCGCCGACGCCCAGTTCTTCGTCTACAGCAACGAGAGCATCCGGCCCTACACGCCCTTCGAGGTCAAGATCCGCAGCTACAACCGCGTGGGGACGGCCCGAGAGCCTCACTGCCCTCAGGGGAAGACTCCCCCCTCCGTGGGTGACCCGGGCCCACACGCGGGGTGCCCGCGGGGAAGACTCCCCCCTCCGTCCCGCAGTGGGGTGGAGAGGACGCGGGGTGCCCGCGGGGAAGACTCCCCCCTCCATCCCGCAGTGGGGTGGAGAGGACGCGGGGTGCCCGCGGGGAAGACTCCCCCCTCCGTCCCGCAGTGGGGTGGAGAGGACGCGGGGTGCCCGCGGGGAAGACTCCCCCCTCCGTCCCGCAGTGGGGTGGAGAGGACGCGGGGTGCCCGCGGGGAAGACTCCCCCCTCCGTCCCGCAGTGGGGTGGAGAGGACACGGGGTGCCCGCAGGGAAGGCAGGCCTGGGGCTCTAAGCCGCTGGCCTCCTTTCCAGCCCTTGCCACCTGGTCTCCCCTCAGGCCTGGGAAGGAGAGGGAGGCCCTCGGGGTCCCCGTGGCCTTGGTCCTGGACCCTGGGCCCTAAAGTTGTTAGCAGGGGCCGTCGGGGTTGGTGGCTGCTCTGTAGGACGCGAGGAGGCCTGGGAACCCAAACCCCTTCTGTATCGGTCCCCAGAGCCCAGGGTGGCCCCGACCAAGGTCTGGGCCAAGGGGGTCTCCTCCTCAGAGATGAACGTGACCTGGGAAGCGGTGCCGCAGGACACGAACGGGGTCCTCCTGGGCTACGAGGTGAGCACTGACCTGCGGCCTGGGAGAGGGAGGAGGCTGGGGTTGAAGGTTGGGGGAGGGCGCCCAGCCGGCGGGGCTCAGTGGTTGAGCGTCGACCTGTGAACCAGGGGGTCCCGGTTCGCTTCCAGGTCCGGGCACATGCCCGGGTTGCGGGCTTGGTCCCCGGAGTGGGGCCCGCGACGGGAGGCCGATCGGTGGTTCACTCTCTCCCTCTCCCTCCTTGGAGCACTCATTCACTCACCTGGCAAACAGCACCCAGTCTGTGCAGCACAGTGAATGCAGCTCTAGCTGAGACCCAG